ATGATGAGGTTGCACGAGGTTTGGCCATCAAACTCGTCTTTGAAAAATGACAGATTTACAGATATATTGTGTCGTATCCAAGTTCCTCTAATATTGTGCGAAGAGGTATATAGGGGCCATGGGAGTACAAGTCTCATAATTGGTCTCAAATTTAGATTATCTTATATGATTGGACATTCGTCATGATGTATGTAGTTGATGGGCTTCCAAGGTTTTCAAGTCGTATCAGGGCCTTGTTTGGCAAGTCTTGACTTTGTTACATCCCCTTAGATACACTTGAAGTGTATCTTACAAATATATCTTGTAATTATCTTCATCGGTTTTTATATTATGACCCTATTGAGGATTGATGTCTTGTATTCTGAGGAAATAGATCTGCTAAGGTAGAGGCAAAGGGATGACTATGAGGGTCGTTAAAAGCCGAAGGGCTTTAGGCCCGGAGGAGTGTCCGGCTAGGTAAACTCGGTGGCCTCGGCCCTTGTGGGGGTTCGGGGACGGCAGCCCCCAAGGGAAATTTTTGTATCCCTATATGGGATTCGATATATCTGGGATTCGATATATATCTATACTTGGGGTATTTCAGTAATTTGTACCATCTATCTGAGACTTGATATATATTGTTGCGATGGGGCGTTTTTTAGGGTTAAGGGAAAAACACAGATCTCTTGATAATTAGAGAGAACAGAGAGGCGTGAGGAAGAGAGCTATTGTAACCCTATTCTCCATTGCCAGTAAAGAAGCTCTCATCTCCCGTGGACATAGGTATATTGCCAAACCACGTATATCTTTATGTTACGGTTAGTTGTCTCTTTCTTTTGTGTTTGTTTCTTCTTTCTTGTTTTCGTGGATTGCTTTTCGTTTCTACAGACCCATCTTCTACCAAGCATATATAGGCTTGACATTCACTTGATACATATCTCTTGAGATGATCCATCAGACTTATACATAGATATTTTGAGTGCATGTAGCCGCTCATGATGGCTCAAAAACACACCCAACAGTTGTCAGAGATTAAGAGAGGTTCTGCTTTATATTGTCTCTGGCCCTCAAACTTCCTTTCATCAAATAATGACAACTTATAGACAAAATACATATAGCTCAGGAATGCATTTGTTCTTGGAAAGCTAGTAACAAAGCTGGGATTGTATGTAAGCAGGATCGAAAAAAATTATACAATAGAATCAATTGGGATTTTCTTTTAAAAACTATGGCAGCAGTGGGGTTGGTGATAAATAGATATTATGGCTAGAAGGTTGTCTTACCACCACATAATTTTCTTTTTTTAATCAATGATATACCCAAAAGTTTCTTTTGAGCTACAAGAGAAGTCCTTCAAGGGCATCCTGTATCCCCTTATTTATTTACTATAAGGCTGAGCTTTTCAATTTGATGTTGAGAAATGCTGAATAAGCAGGGACAATTCATAGTTTTTAAGTCTCAGATAGAGGTAAAAGATATTCACATTTGTAATACATAGATGATACCTTGATTTCTTGTGATGCTATGTAAATGATTGGGAGGTACTAAAAAGGTCTTTTGTTGTTTTGAAATTATTTCTAGACTAAAAATGAACATGAAGAAAATAGTTTTAGTTGGTATGTCTTGTGAAGATTCTAGGGTTAAGGAGTCAACATCAATTATGGAATATGGGGTGGCTGAATTTCCTATTAAATATTTGGGAATGTCTTCGATGACCCTAAAGCTTCTCGGTCTCCGTGGGGCTCAACAACTCAAAAGAATGCAAATATAAATTAGACTTATAGAAACCAAAATTTTTGTCACTTGGAGGTATGTTGACTTTAATAACGTCTATTATGTCCAAACTTTCTATTTATTAGATGTCTCTACATGGGATTCCAAATGACATAGCCAAACAGATTGAAAGGTTAATGTGAAGTTCCTTTTGGGGTGATACAGATGAAATTAGTTTGGTAGCTTGGAACAAAGTGTGTACTCCTAAGAAGATGTGGGTTGGGGATTAAGAAAATCCGACTTATGAATAATGCTTTGATGTCCAGATGGTGGGGAAGGTGTTCTAGGGAGGATGGGTAGATGTGGAAGGCTCTACTCGACGGTAAGTACGGTAGTGATAGAGATGGTGTTTATGCTATATGGATGGGTATTGTGGCAGTTAGGGATGTCTTTGTAAGGAATGCTAGAATGTTGGTTGGGGATGGGAGTAAAACCTTTGTTGGCATAAAAAATGGGTTGGTGACCGATCAAAGTATATTTTTCTTGAATGGTTTGAGAAAGTATTGGCACATAATGCTAGATTTAATAATCTAGTGGAAAGCAATGGCTTCAACGCTGTATGGAATATAACGTGTCAATATAATTACCAAAATTAATTGACAACAACTCAATTTCAGCAGTGTCTACAATTGCTTCAAGGCCATTATATTTGGCCAAAGGCTCAAGATGAGGTGATATGGGAACTGTGTGGTAGTTGAGAGTTTCTGGTGAAGTCAGTATACTCTATCATTTCGTGACAGGATAAGATGGAGTGTCACTGGTCTGCTGCCTATTTAGAGATTGCCAAATTCCTACTACGGTATGTTTGTCATGCCTTAAGAAACTGCTAACTGTTGATAGGTTGAGGAAGAGGGGAGATCTTACAAATTTTTTGTATTATGTGCAAAAATGTTGAGCAGACTGTTGATCATTTATTTCTTGTCCATTTTCTTCGAGAATTGGGGAATGGGTTAAGGAAGGGATATTGGGGTCCTTGAGCAGACTGCTAATTTATTTGTGGAGAGGATTCACAATGAAGTGAATGGGGTGGGAAGAATGTATTTGAGAATGCTTACATGAGTTGTGGTGTGAGAGCGATGGAAGGAGAGAGAGTTTTTGAAAGAAGTGTGTTGGACATTGGAATGATTCAAAATAGGAAATACGGGTTGTAGTGGTTGAGTCGGCAGGAGGGTGTGAACAATTTTGGGGTTGGACTAGGTCGGGTCACATTTACAATATTAATATTAGGAAAGAGAAGAGGGTTGGAATTGGGTACCACCAGCTGAGGGGGTTATAAAGCTAAATTTTGATGGGAGTTGTTTTGATAATCTCGGAAGTAGAGGAATTGAATGGATTATCAGAGATAAAGAAGGAAGATTTCTTAAGAAAATTATGGCCCAATTAGAGAGGTGATAGCTAATGAAGCAGAAGTTAAATCCTTCTTGCATGGTCTCAGATTGTTTGAAAGATGGGTGAAAATTTCATTATAAAAGGAGATTCTTTGAATGTTTGAAGTTGGTGTTGTGGTAAGAAGAGTGTTCCTTACAGGATGCAAAGTTTATTAAGGGAAGTCAAGGTTCTATCTCAAGATAAAGAGGTTAATTTTTATCATGTTTATAAGTATAGTTGATTGTTTGGCAAGGAGTGGGATACGAGTTCAAGAGTTGTATGTAGAATATTTTGCAACAGGTTGTTCCTGTTATTTTGTAATTTTGTTTTCTATTCATTGTTGTGTACATGATTTGATGTACTTGGAGGATTGAGAAAATAAGAATGAGAAAGTTTTGATTCTTGTCAAAAAACAATAAAAGGTGACATTGAAAAAAGATGAACTTGTCTTTAAATATGATACATTTATCTTTGTATTTATAGAAAATTAAACAAGAAAAAGTTATTCATAGGGTGAGTTATCCATTTCTACATTTTTGGGTAAGTAAGTGGGAAAAAGGCCCCTTACTCATTTTTTATTAATATTTTTTAAAAAATGTCAATGGACTCACCCCCCGCCACACAAAAAATCAAAATCAAAATGGGGGCCCACCCGAAAGGATAAATAGCTCCAAAAAAAATTTCTTAGAAAAATAAATAAATAAAATCCGGTAGATAAAATGTAATTTGAGAGTGCAAAAATATTTCATGCTCCTGCACGAGCATATTGGATAGGTACTCCGTCGCGTAAAACCCAATTGTTTACATGCAATACCGAAAGGGGTGTCTGCACCAATCTAGGAATAATCTTCTGACTCATTTGGGGAAGTGAACTCTTCAACCCATAGACTAACCTTGGTTTAAAAAAAAAAAATCGAAATTAAACTTTATGCACTTGAAAAAAGAAATGTCTCAATACTTAACAGAGGCCATCCAATTTTTAGAGGATGAAATCTAAGTGTTAGTAAACTTAAAATTTAAATTTTGTCTTTTGAGATTTTTAGGTGGTTCTCAAAATTTCAGTTTAGAAAAATCCTCACAACGTCTTCTACCTGAGGGAGACCATATAGTATGCTCTCGTGGGAGAATAATATACATGCTCTAGAGAGTTTTGGGTCAATTAAATACAAATTAGGGGCGTCCGGCCCATGGATCCAGGTGACCACCTAATATTATCTAAATATTTATATGATGGGAAAATTTTATATAGAGCCGAGGCTCTAAACAATCAAATTGAAGCCTACCACAAAAATTTCAATAAAAGAGGTGGTTTTGATGCTCAAAGATCATCAAATTGATGATCTAGACCTGAGGAGCTATGGACATGCGAAAAAAATAGATTTCAAGTTTTAAAAATAGTATATTTTATAACGTATTTTTGGACTGTCAATTTTTGAGATTTTCAAATTTTCATAGATCTGTCGATCTACACTATTTTTGAAATTTTAAATGTTATAAATAAAGATGAAAATACAGTTTAACGTTGGCACAAAGATTTCCAGTATTGAAAGTTGAAACCACATTTCTCGATACGATTTGAAGGTAGGCTCTAATTTAATTGTTTAGAGCCTAGGCTCAATACAAACCGCATATGATATACGCTAGTATAGTTACTCAAGCACCTATATGCCCCATACCCTAGCTGGTTTCCTCTCTCCCTCACATAAAGAAGAAGCCCCTTTGCCCCATACCCTAGCTGGTTTCCTCTCTCCCTCACATAAAGAAGAAGCCCCTTTGATTTCCAAGTAGGCATATGCTTTGAATTTGTAATAAAATTAAAGGGGTTTATTTTTATACCAGGCAAGAAAATCATCATCATCCAAAGCATTATCCCAATTATATCATCCAAAGCATTATCCCAACTATATAAGGTCAAGTAAAAATGAGAAAAAAAATCTTTCACGTACACCGCGGGAGTAAGACCGATATAAGAATAGATTTATAGATATTTCCACATCAATCAAGGAGGGTACTCAAAAAAACATAGTCAATTTCAGAACCTTTATGCATCTAATCAAGCGCCCACCATGGAATAATCGGTACGAATTTGTTTCCTTTTTTCCTCAACATCTTTTGGCTCATTTTATTGCCAAAGTTCTTGAACTTCTTTTAATTAGAGCCATCCATTCAAGAGCAGGTGTTAGGTGAAGCACCACTTACATCTCTAGAACAATAACTGCAAAAACAAAAAAAGGATAGAGGTTCCCAATGAATAATACATTTGTGATGGCACTGTCCAGTGGCTATGTTAATTTAATGTCTCTGTGTGTGTGCTTAAAAGATAGAGATTACCAATAAATAATACATTTGTAATGCAACTATCCAGTTCAGGATAATTGCTAGCCATGTTACTGTAATCTGTGTGTGTGTGAGAAAGGTTTGACTCTCAGGCTCCAACACACTCTTTGTTCAAAAGGTCAGATTCAGGTCAACTTATCAGGTTCTCGTGCACGAAAATCTTCTCATAACTAAGAAGAATTCAGTCGAACCAGGGAATTTTTAACAAAAAAAAATCCAGAAATTCCTTTCACGACTAAGAAGGGTCCAGTCGAACCAGGGAACTTTTGACCCCCAAAAAAAAAATTCTTTAGATTTGAAAAAAAAAGAGAAAAGCTATTGTGGTTTTTTTCTGCCCAAAATAACCAAAGCTCGTGATCCGGGGGACCAGTGGGTGTTTAAACTCTTCTCTCACAATATCTATGGCATGATGTACTCACAGTCAGAGTCGGTCTTGACCCATCTGCAACTATCTCCTTGCCCTTGTTCTTCATTTGTTGTTTCTGATTTTGCCATTGATTTGCTGGACAAGTACTTCCGGCTAGACGTCGAAGTACTCTGGGGATATATCCTCCTATGCAATATGGTCCGTAGCAACTGCAAATATATTCACAATAAGAATCATCTACAAAGGAAATAAAGACAACATTATGCCTTTTTTGTTAGAGTTTGAAAATTTGGGTCACTTACTGATCTGAGTCTGTTCATCGAGTCTTGAAAGAAATCAACCACTGAGAAAATTGTATAATCAGGGACCCCAACTTCAAATAATAAAATAAATAAATAAATAAAATAGATTGTTCGGGACTCAAGACTCGCCACAGACCCTATAGTGAACTAGAAAGTTTGCAAAGGTGAACCGCCTACCGCCTCATCGGATAAAGTGGGGTGATTCTTCAGTTGAGAAGCATCCAAAACTAGATAGCCCTAGTGCCGTGCGGGCTCGAGTGATTCCAAACCGGCTCGGCAACTTTTCCATCGCTACTTCTGGCAATTGCCACAAGATTTGCCTAAAATGCAAAGGGAAGGGGGACCAAGCAGTAGTTTGTGGAGTGCTTGCACATCATATGAATCTTGTGACGAGCATCACACATGCGCTGGACCATGGAAGCAGTGAATCTACTGTAGCAGACTTAATATCGTCCTAGAAATGGATAGATGACACACCCTAGCTGAGCCTTAATGACATCTCGCGGCTAGGATGAAGTGATTTTTCCTACAGTACCTTCACTTCTCTTGTTGAATGTGAACTACTGCCTATGTCAAGCAAATTTTGGTATTACGGGAGCAAAATGGAACATTTATGACGCAGGATTATCTTCTTATGTCCAAGATGCACTGTTATCACAATGATCTCAAAAATAATAGAAAAGGTAATAGTAATAATGGTTGAAATATTATTAGATCAATAGCCGCAAATTGTATAAAATTGTTCATGTTACAATCACCTTTAGTCGCGAGATGTGAATTCTCAAGTTGTGTGATGAAGTATGAGAAAAGGTTTTTGGGTTTTAAGCGCTATCAAAGGAACACTCTCAGCCGCCTAATTTTGTAACTCATAATCTTCTTGTACCAACAATAAATGCATGTTATCATATACTTTCTCTTATCAAAATTCCTCCCCCGCCCCCAAAAAAAAGAAAAAAGAAAAAAAAAAAAGAAAACAAGGCATCAACAATAACAATAAAACCTTGTAAACCTTCAAATAATAATGGCAAATGAAATATATATGTCAATTTAAATAAAATTTCAAAACGTCTTGAAGAAGTTTTGCCCCTTTTCTCCCGATCATGACGTGTCTAAAATAAGAAAATTTTAAATAAAGACTATCCAATTTTTGGAAAATCTAATTGTTTAGAAACTCAAAACCTGATTTTGGTTTTTTTTCTTTTAATTATCATTATTGTTTTATTTTAACATCTCACTTAGTGATGCTAAATTGGATCCCAAAATTACATATGTAAGAAAATCCTTTTTTTTTTTTTAAACTTTGAGAGATCTTCAATGCTTTGAGAAAATCTCCTGGTTAAATATTATTTTTTAAAAATTACTTATTTAACCATGAGAAATCCTCCAAAGTAGGTCTTTCACCAGATGAATCGTGCTTAGAGTGTGATCCCTAGGAGCACACTATACATGCTCGATGATAAATAATAAAGTTCAATTTACGTTAATAAAAACACCAAAAAATTGGGATTTGGTAATACCTTCTCCATCCTTGATTCAGGTAGGGGATCTCTGAGGCTTGGAACTGGAGCAAACCCACTTCTACAGACAAACATCTTCTTGAGAAGGAATGAAATCGATCGCTGACAAATTACACTCTTGTTGTCTACACACACATCCTTGCCTTTACTCCGAACAGTGCTGGAGCAATTCGAATCCTCTCTCAGCTCGATTCGATCCTCAGTGGCGTCCAACTGATACCTCCTCTCCAAATTCAGAGTCGAGGGGCAGCTAAGAAATTTCTTCAAAGGACAATCACTGTTTTCTCCTCCATTGTTAGAGCATGCATCCCCAGAGCTTGGCTTGAAGGCTAGGAGCCTGGTCAATTCCTTTTGGAGCTTAGCAATCTCTTCTGCAGTGAATTCTGACATTTCTTCAAGTTCTTGAGCTCCATTTTTATTGAGTTCTTGATTTTCCCCGTCTTCTTTTAGGTCATTGTTGCCTAAGGTCCCAATGGCAAGTAGCCCATGCTGCCATTGTGTGTTGTCTTCCTTAGATTTGGTATCTTTGGAAGCTTCATGGGTCCCAAAGCCTGCAGGGAAAATAGAAGTGAGAAAATTAAGGGGGAAAAGGAAAATCTAGCTTTCTGTCAGTACATTCATCACTCATAACAATCAGTCTACGGCTGGGCCTGGGCTGGGCTTAGGCTGAACCAACCATAGCCTTAGCCCTGGGCTGGGCCTGTGCTGGGCTTAGGCTGAACCAACCATAACTCTAGCCCGGCCTTGGCCACTGCAGGGCTGGGCCTAGGCTGAACCAACCATAGCCCTAGCCCGGCCTTGGCCACTACAGGGCTGGCCTGAACCCAGCCTGGCTTGGACTGGACTGGCCGATGGCCTAGGCCCAGCCCTACCGCTGTCCACACCGGGCCACATACAATTAAAGAAAAATAAAATAAAAATAAAAATAAAAATGAAAAGCAGGGTCAGCCCAGGTTAATCGAGCTGGCCCTGGCATAGCATTCCTTTGGGCCGTGGTAGCCTTGCCCCAGCCCAAACCTCCGGCCACACTTTTGTGTCTCAAGCCTTAGTTTTTTTAGTACGGGGCCAACCGGCCCATTCCGAGCCCATTCCCGGCCCTAAGTGCTCTAAACCAAGGACTAGGGTTGGGCTTGCTAGGATCCCGAGTCCGAGTTAGGCAACTTGATAATGCCGAGTTTGGAGACCGCAGAATCTGTCGGTTAACCCGCCGCTGAGTTCTAAGAAAATTAGAGTATTCCATTTTCGTTTAAATTAGTCTTTTGTAATATTCATAGCACAAGTTGGGGTCCAATAGGGAAAATAAAGGGCAAAAGTATCTATGCCTTCTCACATTTTAATTTATGGATCACAAATGATGTAAATTACCTCTTTACATATTTTACAAACAAAAAAAAGTTACAATTGACTTAAATTTTGAAATGTGCCTGTGAAGGTTTAGATGTTGGGTATTTAATTTCTCTTTCGAAATGCTTCTTTACTAAAAATCTATAAGAGAAAAATCCACATGTTCTTCACCTTGAGAGAAAACAAAAAGTTAAACCTCAAAAGAATGAGAGAATGGAGTACACATCAATCCATCTTCTTAGCAGGTAATATAAGAAAAGGAAAATAATAATAATAATAATAATAATTATAATTGTTACGATACATGTGAGAAACAAAAGAAGAACGAATTACCTATGGATACAAAAAAATACTAAAATACACAATGAGTCAATTTTAGGTTAAAATTATGCGGAAGGTCGGCCAACCTTTTTTTTTATTATTTTTTTCAAAATTACCTCTCAATTCGGGACCACAATTTATTTTTGTTTGAGTTTTTTCAATAATAGGGTTGTGCCCCAATGTTTGGGGACAGTGCCCAGTCGGTCCGATGTTAGTATCATCGGACTGCCTTCTATGGTGCTCTTCAAAGCAATCCGCGGTTAGCATCTTCGGACAACAAAGACCGACTTTGATAAGCATTCAGAGGTGGTGTGAGCTGTACATTCTCGGACCATCTTCTCTGTACTGTTTAGGGCACTCTAAGGTTGGCATTTTCATATCGCACTAGTTCATTTGTTTGCTAAGAAATAAGGTGGTTTGAGGATGCCCTCCTCGGGCGCCCTTTTAGAGTGGGCATTGCTCCTAACACTAGGGCACTACCCTACTAACGAAAAAACTAAAAAATAATAATTAAAAAGGGTCCGAGGAAGGCATCCTCAGGTTAAGGGGCATATTTGAAATAAATAAAAAAACACGTGTTGACCGACCTTCATGTAATTTTCGCCCAAACTTGGCGTCTTTTTTTTTTTATCCATACGTAAATTACTCAATAAAGAATGTTAGCTTCAAAAATAATAATAATAATAATAGGAAGGAAGAAAAAAAAAAAGAAAAAGAAAAAGAAAAAGGCAAAAACAAGTTTGTGTGATCACCCCACGTTTTATTAATCCATCCAATCCTTTTGGTTACGCCACCTAAACACAAAATTTTTGTTATAATATACACACAAGAGATCAACTATGTAATTATATCTCACCCATATATTTTGGTTAAATTTTAAAGTATCCATCGAAATATTATGACTATAAGTTGGAGCAGTTGAAAAAGTGTAAATTATTGAATCATTTAAAATTTAGATATATTTTTTATTTCTCAATGAAAGTTAACTAAAGGCTAAATAAGTTTTCTCAATTTTAAGATCAAACATACCTGGAGAGGGCAGTTGGGTGTTCTTTGGGGTATTTCTCCCATTGAGTTTATGTTGCATCCAACTTAGGAGCTGCAAGAAAAATGTACAAATAAATAACGACTTGTAATTCATTTCAAGACCAAGAAAGAATGATGTAGTTGAAACAAAAACTTATAATTCTCATTTTCATGCAAAAGGTATACACTCATCTTTTTGCTCTTGTGCCCCCCTTTCAGGTTGCCTAAAAACCATCAAAACTAACAGAAATTTGTAACTTAGAGAGAGCGAGAGAGAGAGTCTTCTTTAGAGGGAGAGATGTGAAGTCTTTTTACCTTCATTAGGATGCCTGCGCTTTACACCACAAGAAAGAGAGAGAGAAAGCAAGAGAGAGGGAAAGAGAGAGAAAGCAAGAGAGAAAGTAAGAGAGAGAGAAAGTAAGAGAGAGAGAAAGAGAGAGAAAGTAAGAGAGAGAGATAAAGAGAGAGAAAGTAAGAGAGAGAGAGCAGGAGTAGCAATTGGTAGAAAGAAAGCTGAGAGAGAAAAATAGCAGGAGAGAGAGAGAAAGAGCAGGAGAGAGAGAGAAAGAGCAGGAGTGGCAATAGGTGGAGGGAAAGCAGAGAGAGAGAGGAGGAGGAGGAGGTTTTAGGTCCTGTAGTTATCTCATAGGTGGAGGCAGCTTTAGAGAGAGAAAGTGGAAAGTTGAAGAAAAGAGGTTAGAGAGAGAAAGAGAGGGGAAAGTAGAGGGAGAAGAGGTGGAGGGAAAGGGTTTTATAGGGAGATGTCATTCC